ACCACACCTATGACACTACCCACTATGAAGGTAGTAACATAGACTAGTAACATATGTATGTTACTAGTCTAAGTTACTCTCCACTATGACCAGCCTAATATAGACTAGTAACATATGCATGTTACTAGTCTAAATTACTCCCCATTATGACCAGCCTTAGCTGGTGATATGATTCGATCTGGGAGCTTGCTTTCTTTTTCTGCGGGTAAATCTGGGAGCTTGCTTGACCCAATGTTGGTGCCTAGCTAGCACTTGTCTTCTTGTTCTTGTCTTGAGAATATTATGTGTACCTAGCTAGCTACCATGAACCTTCGCTTTGATCCGAAAAGTAAGCAGGGAGATGTTTTTGAATCCTCCGTCGTGCGGCGTTCGGCCGTGGATTGTCGTCCGCAAAACAGTTTCGAAATGTTTTCTCCTACTACGATCGACGTCACCCAGCTGCATATCAAATGTTCGGCCGTGGAGTACATTAATTTGCATGCTACACTTGTAACGCACTGGGACTGGATCATCAGTCGGTCGCATGCACATATTCCTTGTCCCCCCCACCCCACGAGCCAAACCCAAAAGTACATACTATATTCATTCGAATTTCAAAAGAAACCATTCGTGCAGTCGCGCCGCTGGTTTTCCAGAAGATGTACTAGCTGCCATGCCACAACGGCCGGCCGGGCGGGATTCCAATCCCGCATTCATCGCAATTCTCAGTCCAACATGCTCGAGTATAGGCCTAGTAGCACCACTCTTAATTTTCCAAAGTGAACTGATGCGCTAACTAGAAGCAGCATTTCTCTTCTCCGAGTTACTGGAGTCGTCGTAGTATTATAATAACAATAATCTCTCTAATGCATGTACATGGTTAATTAGATTATTTATTCACCCGCAAATAAAAAAATAGATTATCTATTAGTTCAGTCTGCGTCCACAGAGGTAGGTCAACGTGAGAGCAACAGTTTCATACGTGCACTGCACCACCGCGTAACGTACGCCGGTGCTCCATATATTTCCGATTAATAATACTCAAAGCCAAAAAAATAATAAAATAATAAATGACCTAAAACTGAGTGTATTTTGAGCTTACACTTAGGAGACAATAGAAAGGCAAGACTCGTAGTACATTTCGTTCAGCTAAGCACTCCAGACTCTAAATCAGAGCATGCTGTCCCGTGAAAATAATAATATCACAGCATGCTACATCAAGTCAAGTCCGATATTTAAACTCGAACCAAGAGCTCGACCGGCTGAAACAAGTCAATGACAAAACTTGGCCGCTGTTACTACTTCCCTGTCAAACTAGCTACTTACTTAGTAAACAACATTTGCGAAAACACGGAATGTTTCATACCGGAATTAATACGATCAGTCGTCAGTGAACTTACGTACTTTGCATGACAGCATGCATGACGCAAAGCTATATAGTATGAACAAATGTATGCACTGTACTTAGGCCTTGTTTGGTTTCAACAAGTCACCTGACTTATAAGTCAGGTGACTTAAAATCAGTGACTTATAAGTCACGTCTGTTTGATTGTCACATGATTTATAAGTCATCTGAGCACACATTTTCATCTTGTTTTTAATGTAAAGATGATGAGACCCACACAAAAGAGGATGACTTATAAGTTTTAAGTTGGGGTGGAGCAACTTATGACTTATAAGTTGGGTCCGTTTGACAAAATAAGTCACTTTTTGTACTTTTCAACTTATAAGTTGATGACTTATTTGAAATCAAACAGGCCTTTACCTACAGCTAGCAACAGCAACACACATTGGATGCAGTCTCTGGTCTCTCATTGGAGCCGGCTAATAAGGTGGGGTCCTGTAGTCGAGTAGTACTTAATTTCTCTTTGGTTTTGTAATTATCCTATTTTTATGGAGACTGTAGTCAGGTAATCCCTCTGTATTTGGATATAAGACGGTTTTGCAGTTGCTTACTCTTATATTTTGATACAAAGAAAGTAGTAGTGCTTAATTTCTATTTCTATGTTTTTTGTCCACTTTTCCATTGAACCGAATAAAGCCTAAGTCATGTTATTTATTAAACGGTTGGTTAATGCTTGCTCTCCGATGGATTTCACTTTTTTTGTTAAGCAAACAACATAATTTCTTCCCTTTATTATAAAAATGGATTTACAAGAGACCGGCTAGAAATAAGTGCAAAGAGGCTCAACCCGCTTAGCTAAATTAGACCTGAAATTCACACACACTCATAACATGACAGAAGCAACAAATAGACAAGCCATTGGTAATGCATCTTGTGGCTAGCAAGAAATGGGGCGAAATATTGCAGCTGTTGTAGTTCATACTCCCTCCGTCCGCAAATACTTGTCATCAAAATGGATTAAAAGGGATATATCTAGGACTAAAATACATCTAGATACATCCCCTTTTATTCATCTTGATGACAAGTATTTTTGGACGGAGGGAGTATGTTTTATCCCTTCTAGTGTGTGTCTCATTGCAAAATTCAGAATGTCCTTGGTGCCCAAAACAACAGAAACTGGTAAAGGTTGCTAGTTTAATATGCAAAAGTGATTAGTAAAACATCTAAGAAAATCAATGATTCTTGTTATCATTAATATGAGAAATAAACAATTTTTATTGCGTTGTTCAATTTACAAAGAAATGGTAGTGCTATTTTCAGTTGCCAAATAGCAATATAAGTCTCAACCATCAAAATTCTTATGCATTCTATTGTTATTTTAAAATGTGTTTTAAGCAAAATCATACTTGAACTTTTCACTATGTACGATTATATAGTTAATTCCAGAAAATAGTTCACTATCTATTATATAAGAAAAGCACAGTATGACACATAACAAACTGGTGCATTAGAATTAACAAAAAAATCTAGTTATTTGTCTGGTGGACAAGCTCTTTATTAGCATATCACAATCGGCTACATAACATACCTAAAAAGATTGTACCTGTTAGATCCATAACATGGTACCTATATTGATCACATTCTATTTTGAAGGAAAACCATCATGTCAACTTTATTGATGCCCCTACACATCAAACACCGACAACGAGCAAAGATAACATGATCAAAATCCAAGAACTAAGCACATACTTTTAGATCTTCATATCGTGTTTAAATTTGTCATAACTCACTAGATCAACATTATTGTACTTAAGCACATCATATCTCTTAGACCACATAAGTGTACATAAACAAATCACATATGCATAATTGTACATTGACAAGTTGTATCCGTTAAATCTTCATGATTGTATCTAAGGAGATCATAACCAATATTACTTCGTAATTGTTGCTAGATATATCATAACTCATAAACCAACATAATTGCAATTAGATAAGTCTGACATGAAACTTATTTTAAGTACGCATGCTAATTATCATTGTTCGGGAACTCGGTAACTGGTAACTGCTCGGTCGACTACTGATTACGATTAATCGGTTAATCGGCCATTTAATTGAATTAATCGGTCGATCATTAATCGGCTGCACATGAGAATATATTGGCAACATGTAACTAGTTTTTCACGTATTGTACACCACATAATCCGATGCTCATAGCTACGTATTATACATTTATACTAAAATATAATGTCGTAGCTCGTAGGCCTATAAAAAGCATGGACAAGAGGTAGAATTGTTACCTGGATGGTTTGATCATGATGCATCCAAACAGGAAGGCAACAAACCTACAGAATTAATGATAGATATGCATTTGTATATGCTCTAAACTTGTCATTGTCAAGATAAATAATTAAATGACAGCAATACATGTGACAACAAGAAGCCACACATGAAACATGACAAGATAAATTAAAATGACAGCCACACAACTTGGCAATATGCAGCCACACATAACAAGATAAATAGCAGCCACACATGTGAACATGGAATAATTCACTACAAGGTTCAACACAAATAGCATAATAGGTAATAAGGTTCACTGACCACAAATACTCAAATAGTTCTCATAACTCATAATGGCCTGGATTGCCGCTTTTTTTATGGATGCTATTTATGGATGCCACTTCAGTTACCTGACCCATCACCGAATAATCGGTTTGACAACCAATTAATTGTCTGACAACCGATTAAATGCCAGTTAATCAGCTTGACCATTTAATGAAACGAGTACATGCTACTCGCCTCAGTTAGGCATTGAGTAGCGATTAAATGGGCATTTAAATGGTAACTCGGCCGAGTTCTTGAATAGTGCTAATTATTAGACACAAGTAGTGACTTACAAGAAAATATAACTAGTGAGAAAATGCCTCTTACCTTCTTTTGCTCTTAGGGAATGAGTAATAATGCTAACATATGGCATACAACAAATTTGGCTGATGAATGATTAGGCACTAACATGATCATCGATCGAGGAATACCTATAGGAGTGTTTTGCAATGGAGAGGCTAATGACTTGGGGGAGGGGTGGGTTTCATAAGTCTAAAATCAATACTTTCGACACATTAAAATGTTTGCATAAGATGGCGCCCTCGTATTTTCAAGGACTACAATGCTAGTTGCTCACAAAATGCAAATGAGATTTGAGGTATCATACAAATAGTGGAACCGACAATTTCTTACACAATTATCATATAGGACAAGTACCAATGCTTTATCACAAACATCTGTATTGACAGGTTTACATGAACATACTACCTCTGTCCAGAATTACTCGACGATGAAATCGATGTATCTGGACGTAGTAGTATTATCCACTCGCTGACAGCGGGATCTCCGATGGATCGCCCTTTCACACGTAGGCAACACCACTGTTTTTGTACATAAATACCAATAAATCAACAAATCTTGAGCTGCACAAGTCTTCTTGTGACTTTGATGTGCACACCAATTCTGTGTCTGCTGATCAAAGCAACACATCATTATCATCTTTACTTGGTAAAACTTGAGGACCGGCTATATATTCTAAAAGAATATCAAAAGTCAGCTGCTTTTACCCGCCCTGAACAAGAGACCAAACACGGTGCCGCCGACATTTCCCGCCGGTCCGTCGTCGTACTCAGTGCACGCACTCAAGCACGGTGCTCGGCGCACCGAGACGACTGAGCGGCGAGCCAGGCATGTCAACGGCGCCACCGGCGTCGAGCCGGGCGCGCATGTCCATGGCCTTGCTGATGTAGAGCTGCTTGACGTTGCCACCCTGGTTCTTGAGCAGCCGCAGAATGCTGCGCTTGGCGTTGGCGCGGAAGGGGCAGTGCGAGCTGAGGAAGCCGTCGACGAGGTGGATGTACGCTTCCAGGTCGTGGCAGCAGGCGGCGTCGGCATCGGGACGGAGGTACGGGGATGCGCGGCTGTCAAGGCGGAGCTCGCGGCCGATATCAGCGTACCACCGGCCGCCGGGCCGCGGCGGGAGGTGCGGCACGACGTCGTGCGCGTTCACCACGCGGAGCACGCGCGCGCCCCGGGCCTCCACGCGCTCCGCGAACGCGCGGTTCCCCACCCTCGGTCCCCCGAACGAAAACACCGTCACTGGCTTCGGCGCGTCGCCGTGGCCCGCGAGCTCGTCGGCGATCAGCACCGCCAGCGCCGCCCCCAGGCTGTGACCCGTCACCGTGATGCTCACCTCCTCTCCCTCGTACTTTTTCAGTAGTCTGCGCACTTCGGTGACGACCATCTCTGACAAGCTCGGCGAACCGTCGCCGGCTGTCTTGTAAAGGTTCCGGAACCCGCACTCCACCTTTGCGTCGGAGGCGGAGACCGCCGAAGCTGCGGCGTCAACCGCTTCGGTGGCCGGGACGAGACCGGCGCGGAAGTTCTCAGCCCACTCAAGGACCGTGCAGGTCCCACGGAGTGCGATGATTATGTCGCGCCGGCCCATACGTCGGACCTCGTCGGGGCTGTCACACACGGCCACGTACCCGACGAGGCTCGTGCGCTGCGCGGCGCACGGCGCGGCAAGCGCGAGCCAGGACGGGAAGCCCACGGACGAGGTTGCGAATAGTGGCGCCGTGACGCGGTAGGCCGCGTCCTGGAGCGGGACGTGCACGGGGGCGGCGAGGTCGCCCGGCGTGGCGTCGGGCTGGGAAAGGAACGCGCCGTACGCGGCGTCGACGAACTCCCCGTAGCGGACGATCTCGCGGCGGAGGTCCGGGTGCAGCGGGTCAAGCAGGCCGCGCCAGCCGTCCTCGCCGTGCAGCCGCCGCCACGACGCCGCGATGTCCCCACGCGGCGACGGCCCGTCGGGCGGCACCGGCTGGAACAGGCGCGGCGACAAGTCCACCTGCTCCTCCTTGGCCACGGCGAAGTCGCCCTTGGCCCGCTTGAAGAAGGACGGCAGCCGCAGCAGCGGTGCCTGCTGCCTCCTGCGTGCCGGCTGCACAGGCGCCGCGGCAGTCCCACTGCTCTCGACGGCACCGCGGCTTCGGAAGAGGTGCTCGAGGTTACCAAGGTGCACCCTGTTGCTCGACGCCGCGACGGACGCTCTGGCTCCGTGTGTGGCGCTCACCGCCGGGCGGTGCAGCGATGTTGGCGGCGCGGCGGCGGAGGTCATGCAAGGCAAAAATGGTGTCGAGGCCAGCGGAGCCGCATACAGTAAGTTGGGTACGTACGTCCAAGATACGGAAGCCAGGAGGAAGAAGAGGCGATCGGAAGCGATGAGCTCACGAGTGCCTTTTTATAGCGGCACCAGCGAAGTTGGCGTCAACGCGGAAACTTCGTTTGTTACGATGATCAGGATCGCTCACATCATCAAGTCATTATCAGTCCTGATTCTGAACAGCAATACGTCTTAGATTTTGACATGATTTCAAACACGCAATTAATTTAATCTTTATAACTTTTAAATAAATAGATGATACCTTATGCGTTGCTGCCAAATCGGTCAAAATATATTTCAGTAAAATTGTATTGCATTTAACATGAATCGTCCGAGAAATGGGCGGCCTATCAAATTCTTTGCGAGATGAAGGAGTTAAGTAGCCAGTTTCAGGCTTCCAGCTCTAGTTTTCGAGTCGGTCGATCTAATGTGGAGGTTCACCTCAAACACCTTCAAATGCTCATGGACACGTCCGAATGTGTTCGCGGACAGCCGACCGCCAGGTGTGCCGGTCATCCAATGCTATTCCTTGTTTATCCATCCCTTTGTTCAATGAAAATATGAGAGGGAAGGGAAAAAAAAAAGGAAAAATGAGTTCATGATGGTGGGGTTAGAATGATCCTTTGCCGAGTTGGCAGTGTTGCCGGACACGCTGGCCTACCTATATCTCCATTGATTTAGGGACGGGCAGGGGATTTCGGATCGTCGAGGCTAGTCCGTGAATAAACGAGGAATTATGTTGAAGGTCTAAAATTGTCTGAACCGTCATGTCGAGATGTATATAGGCGGTTTGATAAGCCAGGTTAGAGATGCCCTAACTTTTACGATCTAAGAGGACAATAATAAGAAAGCAGCCACATGTTGTTTTAAGGCTGCTACCACATGGCTAGGGTTTCAGCCCCTTTAATAAAATGAGTGTTAAACTACGGATTACCTTACGTTTAGGCTTATGGTAGTCGAGACCGTTCCACCATGCACCTTTTTATGTGATCTTGTGTAGATTCGGTAAACAGCGGTGGTTGTTACTTGTTAGACAGGGATTCATTCACTAGTCAAATTGTACTCAATTACTTTTTAGAAGATGGAACCTAGCTGCTTGGCAAGCAAGTCTCCATGTTCTTACTGAATCTCCTTTGCTAATTTCTATTGTACTTTTCGGTCCCTATCTCCTGTGAATTCTTTGCTTACACGTCCATGGCATCTCTACCTTTCCAGCTAATGCGAGATAAGACTAGCTCTTGGTTTTACTTTTCAAGATCTACAAACAACAAGATGAATTTTAGTCGGACAATACCATGTACCAATTACACCCGCAAACCTTTTCCATTATATTTATCATTTTTAAATATTTGTATCAATACTTTACATAATTTTGACCTATAGGAACGTGTTATATACTAATCATCAACCTTTGAATGTACTAATCACCAGCCTTTGCATGGTTATATTGGTGTGTCCTAGGACTTTTTGGGTTGAATTGCAAAGAAGAAGAAGAAGACTTTTGGGTTGAGTCAGACACGTCCTCGTTATCCTAAAATGCATGATTTAGTCCTATCTGATTCAATACCAAAATTACTCGGAGGTGCTATGCATTTTACCCAAATGAAAACCATCTAACTAAAGCCTCATCCAGTCATTTTGACTTTTGTTTTGCCGTGCGCCTGCCTTGAGGTGCAAAATGAACTTGTTTTTTTATTAGTTGAACTCACATTTTACTTGTATTCTGAATGCTTTAGTATAACTACAACGACAATAAATATGGATCAAAGGGAGTATCATGTTTTATTCAAGTAATGGAACGGGAAGGTTGATCTCGCTTCCTATTGGTTTGCATAAACGTCAAACTATTTATTCATTAACATAATTTTCCCTTATGAGGGAGTAGCTGGGGACTATTAATCAATAAGAATACATCTATGGGTAAAATGATGAGTAGCTATTAATTAACCCATCGTGTGTTTTCTATAGGCTCTTGGATGTTGGTCACATGGCGATGTGACCTGTGAGTGTTAATCACATGGCGATGTGAATTAGATTATTGACTCTAGTGCAAGTGGGAGACTGTTGGAAATATGCCCTAGAGGCAATAATAAATTGGTTATTATTATATTTCCTTGTTCATGATAATCGTTTATTATCCATGCTAGAATTGTATTGATAGGAAACTCAGATACATGTGTGGATACATAGACAACACCATGTCCCTAGTAAGCCTCTAGTTGACTAGCTCGTTGATCAATAGATGGTTACAGTTTCCTGACCATGGACATTGGATGTCGTTGATAACGGGATCACATCATTAGAAGAATGATGTGATGGACAAGACCCAATCCTAAGCCTAGCACAAGATCGTGTAGTTCGTTTGCTAAAGCTTTTCTAATGTCAAGTATCATTTCCTTAGACCATGAGATTGTGCAACTCCCGGATACCGTAGGAGTGCTTTGGGTGTGCCAAACGTCACAACGTAATTGGGTGGCTATAAAGGTACACTACATGTATCTCCGAAAATGTCTGTTGGGTTGGCATGAATCGAGACTGGGATTTGTCACTCCGTGTAAACGGAGAGGTATCTCTAGGCCCACTCGGTAGGACATCATCATAATGTGCACAATGTGACCAAGGAGTTGATCATGGGATGATGTGTTACGGAACGAGTAAAGAGACTTGCCAGTAACGAGATTGAACAAGGTATCGAGATACCGACGATCGAATCTCGGGCAAGTACAATACCGCTGGACAAAGGGAATTGTATACGGGATTGATTGAATCCTCGACATCGTGGTTCATCCGATGAGATCATTGTGGAACATGTGGGAGCCAACATGGGTATCCAGATCCCGCTGTTGGTTATTGGCCGGAGAGTTGTCTCGGTCATGTCTGCATGGTTCCCGAACCCGTAGGGTCTACACACTTAAGGTTCGGTGACGCTAGAGTTGTTATGGGAAATAGTATGTGGTTACCGAAGGTTGTTCGGAGTCCCGGATGAGATCCCGGACATGACGAGGAGCTCCGGAATGGTTCGGAGGTGAAGATCAGTATATTGGACAAAGGGTATTGGAGTCCGGAAGTGTTCCGGGGGTATCAGGCTATGGCCAGCATGACCGAAAGGTGTTTCGGGAGCCCCGACAAGTGTGGGAGGGCCTCATGGGCCAAAGGGGAAGGGGCAAACCAGCCCACTAAGGGGTGGTGCGCCCCCCACACCCTTTCCCACGTTACTTGGGGGGTTGGGGCGCCTCCACCTGGCTTGGGAGGCAAGCCTCCACCTGCTTGGCTTGGGGGGCAAGTCTCCCTAGGATTTTCCCTAGGGAGATCCAATCTGCCTAGCTGCCACCCCCTAGGGGAAACCCTAGGGCGCCTCCCCCTCTCCCCTTGCCTCTATATATAGTGGAGGGGTGGGAGGGCAGCCGTGACCTCTTCCCTGGCGCAGCCCTCCCTCCTCCTACACCTCCTTCTCCTCCATAGTGCTTGGTGAAGCCCTGCTAGAGAATCACGAGCTCCATTGCCACCATGCCGTCGTGCTGCTGGAGTTCTCCCTCAACTTCTCCTCTCCCCTTGCTGGATCAAGAAGGAGGAGACGTCCCCGGGCTGTACGTGTGTTGAACGCGGAGGCGCCGTCCGTTCGGTGCTAGATCGGAATCAATCGTGATCTGAATCGCTGCGAGTACGACTCCTTCATCCGCGTTCTTGCAACGCTTCCGCTTAGCGATCTACAAGGGTATGTAGATGCACTCTCCTTCCCCTCGTTGCTAGATTACTCCATAGATTGATCTTGGTGATGCGTAGAAAATTTTAAATTTCTGCTACGATCCCCAATAGTGGTATCAGAGCCAGGTTTATGCGTAGTTTCTATGCACGAGTAGAACACAAAGCAGTTGTGGACGTTGATTTTGTCAATTTACTTGCCGTTACTAGTCTTATCTTGATTCGGCGGCATCGTGGGATGAAGCGGCCCGGACCGACCTTACACGTACTCTTACGTGAGACTGGTTCCACCGACTGACATGCACTAGTTGCATAAGGTGGCTAGCGGGTGTTTGTCTCTCCCACTTTAGTCGGATCGGATTCGATGAAAAGGGTCCTTATGAAGGATAAATAGAAATTGGCATATCACGTTGTGGTTTTGGCGTAGGTAAGAAACGTTTTTGCTAGAAACCTATAGCAGCCACGTAAAAACTTGCAACAACAATTAGAGGATGTCTAACTTGTTTTTGCAGCATATGCCTTGTGATGTGATATGGCCAAAAGGATGTGATGAATGATATATGTGATGTATGAGATTGATCATGTTCTTGTAATAGGAATCACGACTTGCATGTCGATGAGTATGACAACCGGCAGGAGCCATAGGAGTTGTCTTAATTTATTTATGACCTGCGTGTCAACATAAACGTCATGTAATTACTTTACTTTATTGCTAAAGCGTTAGCCATAGTAGTAAAAGTAATAGATGACGAGACAACTTCAAGAAGACACGATGATGGAGATCATGATGATGGAGATCATGGTGTCATGCTGGTGACAACGATGATCATGGAGCCCCGAAGATGGAGATCAAAAGGAGCAAAATGATATCGGCCATATCATGTCACTATTTGATTGCATGTGATGTTTATCATGTTTTACATCTTATTTGCTTAGAACGACGGTAGCTTAAATAAGATGACCCCTCACTAAAATTTCAAGAAAGTGTTCCCCCTAACTGTGCACCGTTGCGAAGGTTCGTCGTTTCGAAGCACCACGTGATGATCGGGTGTGATAGATTCTAACGTTCGAATACAACGGGTGTAAGCCAGATTTACACACACAATACACTTAGGTTGACTTGACGAGCCTAGCATGTACAGACATGGCCTCGGAACACGGAAGACCGAAAGGTCGAACATGAGTCGTATAGAAGATACGATCAACATGAGATGTTCACCGTTGATGACTAGTCCGTCTCACGTGATGATCGG